CCACAATCAAGACCTTATACCCGGTAGCCACAATCAAGACCTTATACCCGGTAGCCACAATCAAGACCTTATACCCGGTAGCCACAATCAAGACCATATACCCGGTAGGCACAATCAAGCCCTTATATTGCCACAATCAAGACTTTATACTCGGTAGCCACAATCAAGACCTTATACCCGGTAGCCACAATCAAGACCTTATATAGCCACAATCAAGACTTTATACCCGGTGGCCACAATCAAAGACCTTATACCCGGTAGCCACAATCAAGACCATATACCCGGTAGGCACAATCAAGCCCTTATATTGCCACAATCAAGACTTTATACTCGGTAGCCACAATCAAGACCTTATACCCGGTAGCCACAATCAAGACCTTATACCCGGTAGCCACAATCAAGACTTATATAGCCACAATCAAGACTTATACCCGGTAGCCACAATCAAGACCTTATACCCGGTAGCCGCATCAACATGGAAGAATACGTTCTATCGTTGAAGATGGATTACTTGACTCATTGAAAAGTCGTAGAAGTGATTATAAAAGTAAACAGATGAAATTGATATAATACCACTATTTAGTGTTATACACATATCTTTATACCTTTTCGTAACATCAAAGCTGTTTAGATTTCAACAGGAAACATAATTTTTAAGCTGGATAACAAATTACATCCTTCAACCAGGTGGTGGTCAGGCCCGGGTGGCGGGTTCGAACCCCACCTCAGAACGTGCTCGCGACGGTTTATATTCTTTGAATGTAAGATAAGAATGATAATTGGGTAATCTAGAATTGTAGAATATTGTACTCGAAACTTCCATTCTGACCTTTAGAGAAACCAGACACTAACCAGTCTGTTATAGAAAACACGCACACTAACCAGTCTAGTACAGAGAACACAGACACTAACCAGTCTGTTGTAGAATATTGTACTCGAAACTTCCATTCTGACCTTTAGAGAAACACAGACACTAACCAGTGTGTTGTAGAAAACACGTGCACTAACCAGTCTGGTACAGAGAACACAGACACTAACCAGTCTGTTGTAGAATATTGTACTCGAAACTTCCATTCTGACCTTTAGAGAAACACAGACACTAACCAGTGTGTTGTAGAAAACACGTGCACTAACCTGTCTGTTATAGAAAACACAGATACTAACCAGTCTGTTGTAGAATATTGTACTCGAAACTTCCATTCTGACCTTTAGAGAAACCAGACACTAACCAGTGTGTTATAGAAAACACGCACACTAACCAGTCTGTTGTAGAATATTGTACTCGAAACTTCCATTATGACCTTTAGAGAAACCAGACACTAACCAGTCTGGTACAGAGAACACAGACATTAACCAGTCTGTTATAGAAAACACAGACATTAACCAGTCTGTTATAGAAAACACAGATACTAACCAGTCTGTTATAGAAAACACGCACACTAACCAGTCTGTTATAGAAAACACGTGCACTAACCAGTCTGTTATAGAAAACACATAAACTAACCAGTCTGTTATAGAAAACACAGACACTAACCAGTCTTTTATAGAAAACACGCACACTAACTAGTCTTGTATAGAGAACACAGATACTAACCAGTCTGTTATAGAAAACACAGACACTAACCAGTCTGTTATAGAAAACACGCACACTAACTAGTCTCGTATAGAGAACACAGACACTAACCAGTCTGTTATAGAAAACACGCACACTAACTAGACTGGTATAGAGAACACAGACACTAACCAGTCTGTTATAGAAAACACGCACACTAACTAGTCTGGTATACAGAACGCACACACCAACCAATCTCGGTATAGTGGTGATATGAAGCAGGGTTAAATTACCAAAATTTATAGAGATGACAAAGAAGGGCCTAGTCTGTTTCCTCCAACATTTCAGGTAGATTGTCTTCTGGAAAGGATGGTCTCAGAAGAGATGATGATCCTAAGTCTGGATGGTCCAGTGCTTGATAACCTGTAGCATGAGATCAACTTTAGAGTAAAGAACAATGGGTCCTATGGGAATCAAAGATGATCCAAGGAAACTCCATGAGAATGTGTTGTCAAGCACGCTTTCCGTTACTCGTAATGAGATTCCCATTTGATAAGTTTATCAGGAGTTACAGAGGAAATCCGTGTGACACCACATGGTCGGGTCTCACGAACATCTTGTTTTGATGGATGTGGATGTGATTTCTTTCGCAAAGTGGTCGGAATGAACCATATAACTGGAGCAGAAAGAAAACCATTAACACTGTAAAAAACCTCCAGCGCCAACATGATTGGATAAAAGAATAGTGGACTACATGCATGAATATAGAAGATCCACTAAAGGTGCACATGTTTTTGTCATAATGTGCTACAGATTTATAAAAGTATGTGTTGTTGCCATCCTACAGTGAAAGAATTGGTGCACGAAACACAACAATATCTGTCTGGAAAGAAAGAAGTGGTGCACGAAACACAACAATATCTGTCTGGAAAGAAAGAAGTGGTGCACGAAACACAACAATATCTGTCTGGAAAGAAAGAATTGGTGCACGAAACACTACATTATCTGTCTGGAAAGCAGGTAGTCCCTTCTTGAACCATTTTTTGACAGAGTACTGGCATTGTGTAAGTGTTGGCCTCTAGTTACAAACATTGAACTTCTAGCTGGAATTATAATTGTCTCGTCAACAGTGGAAAAATTGGCGCAAACCAGCCACTGTAGAAGTGTTTCAGCCATAGTATTACATCTGAAAATCAATACACGGCTTCCAGATTAACTTAAATTTTTAATTGAGGAGTGTGCTAACAGTTTGAATTCAACACAAAGATATGAACTTAGTGAATTGCTCAAGGAGTATACTAATGTGTTTATAGGACAACGTAGTTGTTCCGTTTTGACAACATCCTCACCTCAAAGAGACAAAATAAATGACACGCAAGCTTCCTTGAAATACCGGGGGATGCTTTCTGGGCTCAATCCGAGAGAATGTTGAAGGGAAAAATAGTACAACCATTAAAGAATGCTTCAATACCGGGAATGCTTTCTGGGCTCAATCCGAGAGGATGTTGAAGAGAAAAATAGTACAACCATTGAAGAATGCTTCAATACCGGGAATGCTTTCTGGGCTCAATCCGAGAGGATGTTGAAGTGAAAAATAGTACAACCATTGAAGAATGCTTCAATACCGGGAATGCTTTCTGGGCTCAATCCGAGAGGATGTTGAAGGGAAAAAATAGTACAACCATTGAAAAGTGCTTCATATTCTTCAGTGGTGATAGTATATGTGTGTGCGTTTTAGACAGGTGAACATAGTGAAAGGTGTTATTGATGCACTTTTTGCCGCTTCAGATAAATGTCTGGACACATTGGAATTCTCCTGTTGGTTTAACGTACTAGAACTGACCACTATTAAATCAAAGTGGACGAGGAAAGAAGATCTGAGCCCGAACTGGGATACTATTGTAAGGATTCCATGCCATCTGTGTAATGTACATGGTACTTTTTTGTTGGAGATGGAGCTAAGAGGAATACATCCCTTTCAGCCGTGGGGGTGTGATAATGTAACAGTAAGTCCAACTATTCGTTCGGAAAAGAGTCGCACAAGAGTTGGCGGTGAGCGGTATTGCCTAGCTACCTTCCGTCTAGTCTATTTCTTAAAAGTTATGGACTGCTAGCGCAGACAATCTTCGAGAAGCTTTGCGTGAAACTCAGCAAACAAACAAATCGATTGGCGAGCAAACCAAACCTAACTATAACCAGAAGAGGTGTTTTCAGTTCTTTCGGTAAAAAAAAACAGGGTTTGTTTAACTATTAAAACTTTAATGTGAATATTGGAAGGTCTTGATGAGAGTTGACAAACGGAAGTGAACCATGAACATGAACTCCTCACTTCCAAACGAACTGAACTGAGGCCGTTTCAAAAAAATCCACTGTGAATACTGCCTAGTATTACACTGTAATGGACAAATAAAGATATCATATAATGAGAGAAAATTTATTTAAATTTGAGTAATCATGTTTATTTAGATTTAAGCCTTTTCTGCTTCACCATTTTAGACATTTGGCATAAAATAATTTGTTCCAAGTATACAAAATATTGTCAATCTTGTAGATATACGTCATAACAATGTACAGTAGTAGCATCATTAGAAAATTGGATCTTTTCTAATGATACCACTACTGTACATTGTTATGACGTACATCTACAAGATTGACAATGTTTTGTATACATACCACTACTGTACCATTAGAAAAGATCCAAGTATATAAAATATTATCAACATTGTGTATGAACGGTAAACAATGTACAGCAGTCCTAAATGTACGAAATATTGTCAATCTTACAGATGTACGTCATAACAATGTAGATAAGCGGTACGTTACAACAATACATAGCAGTTAAATCATTAGAAATCACCCAGGTATACGAAATATTGTCCAGAGTGTATAATCTTCAAGATTGGTAGTATGTACAGTTTTAAAGAAACAAAATAAATTATATAAAAAAGTTGTCGTTCATGAAAGACAAAGAAACTGTTTGTGTTAATTACATTATTAGCAGTTAAATTGTGTTTGTTTTTCCAATGAATAGTTGTTTGACTTATAATAAAACTGAAAGAAACATAATGTGTTCTATTGTTATTTTAATATTTAAAGGAAAACAAGAGCAACATAACATATCTACACCTGAAATGAAATATTTATTTAAATTAAACAATCACCTTAATGTAAGGAGCATCACAATGATAACTTAAAGATGTATTTATAAATACGGACCCAATCAACAGTAGAGATTTCTATCAGGCTTAGCTTGTGATCCTGAGCCCGGAAATGACAGGGGATTGAAAAAGTTAAAACAAAAAAATTATAGAGCCTCACAACATCATTACAATCCATGTCACCAATTCCGGTCATGCTCTATCTGACGACCGTGCATGTTGACAATAACTTTGTAGTGTGGCTTCGTTTACGATATGCTCTGTCGTAAAGCTATCATGTCCTACATACACCACTCATCCTTGCCGGCTTTCCATATTCCATCTCATATACAAAGACGACGGTTTCTCAACACCCGTTTCAACTATCCGTCTGATTGCACGGAAATCCATAGGTGCTGCGTTTGGCGGATTGACTGGTATGTTTTGGTATGGAATAGCTTGAATACCCACTAAATTCACCAGCTGCTTGAGGTATGCAACGGTTGAACGGGAGGTATGACTAGAAGCCTCGTCGTGGTGAACCCCAACTGTATTAGCCTCATTTCCGTAGAATGCCTATATTTCTGGGTGGTACAAGTAGCACAGAACATCGGTTTGATAGTAAATAACCTTGACCTCTAAGCTTACCCTGGTGCAGTGTCCAGCTATTAGTCTTATTATTAGTCTTTCTCGCTTTGACGTGTCATGGAAGCAAGTTATGTACGCATGACTCGTGTCGTTTTTTCAGACAGAAACAATTCTTAATTATGTGGTGTTGATCTTTGTGTGGGACACGTGGACGACACTTTGTGTTCTCAACTGTTACAAGTCTCTGCTCTTTACTTAGGGTGTGACTTCTTGAAGGCTACTTTCTGGATTTACAACACCAAAAATCTAGGTTTCAATACCCGCAGTGGGCAGAGCTCAGGTAGCCCGTTGATCTATATTCCTTTGTTTTCTAATGTACTTAACTACAAGGAATATCCCTATCCTGATCTGGACACATCTTTAAGATCTGAGCGTATGAATATTTAAATTCGAAAACTCTTCCCAACAGCGGTCAATTTTCAGACAGACAGACATCACATTACCTACTGATAGTTCTGATACATACAGTCCGCTGCGACTTTATACCGGTTGTAACTGTCAAGTAACTTGCTTATTTTCACATGTAAAATCGTTTTAATGTAACGTATTCAACACTCTGTAGTTTGTGTTCTGGTGTGTCATAACTGTCCAAAACACAACGTACAAATCGTTAGTTTATATATACATATATATTTTAGGGTACATATTCGTATGTTATACACACAAGAATATAAAGCGACCCCTCCAAAAAATAACCATATTCGTAAAATTATGAAAATTTGACAAACAAAATTTAATACATTTGTAACTTGCTAAGATCATATTTGTGTTAAACACTTTCGTTAAAGATTGTTTTTGTTGAATAAAGATCTATGTCTATTAGACCAATCTACCATCATTTTATAGAAACAGAAGTTCTTATACATTCATCCCTTTGACTATAAACGTCATAAAATACAGGTTATCATTCCGTTTGTATGAGACTGTACAGGGAAAAAAAACTGCTCCGATGTTTTATTTCAGTGGAAAACTACACAAACGATTATAATTATAGAAAACTTGACAACTGGAAAAAAAGAACAGTAATAAAATAGTATATCTATATAAAAGGTGATAAGAAAATGCGCTTATCAATAGGGTTGGCACAAACTTGGGGCCTGTATTTTGTTATGGATATCTAACTTAGTTTTATCATTTTTTATAAAATATATAACTAACTTATTAAGTACAGTAAAGTGTAAGAATTAATATGAATATTTTTCAGAATATTGATGAGTTTCACTATTAAAAATCGAACGACATCTTATATATTTTCATTCATATAATACGTTTTTGGAAAAGCTATTAAATACACTTTTTGTGTAATTGAAACATAAATCGTGTAATAAAGTTCAAGTTGTGACATTTATCATAAGACTTTATCTGACCACAAATATAATTTTAAATTGCTCTATAATTACTATATCTAGTTTACCTACAATAATAGAAATACATAATACACAGTTGAAGCAATTTAACTTATTATTTAATTAACAAGTGGAGGCAGTGTAGTGAGTATTAGGAGTTATTTTTTCAGCAGCCTGGGCCTAGAATTTGGGGTCTTTCTTTCTCCTATGGCAACAGAACACTGATAAGTCACATGAAATGTTTCCTAGGTAATGTAGTTTTTATACTCATAGTCTTTAAGCAAAAGATGAAGATTCGGCAGAAGGAGGTGTTGATATAGATGGCGGATCTGCGACAACTTCTTCATAAGGAGGTGGATCGTCATCTACACGATCGTTGTTTTGTACTTCCCGATGGTTGATGGTTGACATAGGGGTGTCGGGCAGGGAATCACACTGACTGGCTCTGCTGTTGTGCGTTGTCATAAAAGGTCGCAAAAGTCTGAGGGATCGGCTCCAGCAAGGTATCAATATAAAGGCACAGGTGAGAATAGCAAGAACCATAGCAAAAACTATTACTATAAAGCCGCTAATGGGGAAACTAGCGTCCAAATCTGAAATAATAATAATAAAATACTTCACTGTTTATTTATTAAAATACATGGTAAATAAAGCATTTCTTCTTAACTCCAAAAAACAAAAATATTCACTCTTAAATTCCTAAAGTCCTGATATTTATAGAATGACAAGTTTCATAGTAAATCAAGATAAAACATCGGTTTAGCCAAATGTTCAGTTAAACCTGAAAAGTATAAGGTATGTTAATTCATGATGCAAACACTACTTGACCAAAAATAAACAGGCAACATAAGATATTCAAACAGCAATGAAATCATTTGTTGCTCAATTACACTTTCTTGAAAACCTGTGATGGTCATCGTCTACTACTATTAATACCCGTGCAAGTAATCCTAATGGCCATAATACGAGAAACAGTTCACGTCGTAGGTTCGTTACATTGATGGCGAAAGAGGTAAAAATAATCTGAGTAACCAGTGCACGAGAAAGTATTTAAAGTTAAGAGATATTACTGTACATTTATAGCACCGACACATCTTTACGCATTACTTCAATGACTATTGCATACTGGAGGCCCAAATATAATGTACCATTCCATTCATTATAGATGTCCTATGCTTTCATACCTTCTTATATTACTATAGGAATTTTCAATTTGTTTTTTCATTTAGTCTGGTTCTGTGCAGTTTTCATATAATCACGTGGTCCAGAAAACCATTAGGTTGGTTTCATTCTAACTATTTTTGTTCCTTTGTTGTTCTCTTGTAGATAATACCTGCTCCACCTGTAGGGTTATTGCTGCAAGTTTGTACACGGTGCAAACATTTCAAAGACAGCAATGTTCTTCACTGCCCAGTAGATGTGATATACAGAGGTTATGTCCTTCAATATGTTCATGAGAATGACCACTCACGTGCGGAGCGCTAGTCGTTTCCCTGTTAAGTAAGAATAGTTTGATTAACACAGTTCTACTCGGTTTTCAACGTTAGTCGGTTGACCTAAAGATATCTTGCAAGACTAATCCTGTTGATTGGTTCACTGTTCCAGTAGAAGGTAATGGTCCTGTACGCTATGGAACAACTCTCGCTGTTTTTTTATGTTTGTTTTGCTTTGGAATAATAGAATATAGATTATATTATGTCACCATACCGTAGGTTACTGATCTTACTTTGGAATCATACAATATAGATTATATTATGTCAACATACCATACCACAGGTTACTGATCTTACTTTGGAATAATAGAATATAGATTACATTATGTCACCATACCGTAGGTTACTGATCTTACTTTGGAATCAGACATAATATAATCTATATTCTAATGTTACCATACCACAGGTTACTGATCTTACTTTGGAATAATAGAATATAGATTAT